TAAGAGGAAGACTTGGTTAGGCACACACCTCTTTTAGGAAAAGAGAAAGTAGAGGAACCTTGGGAAAATTGTAGCTAATGGCCCTATAAAAATGGAAGGTGGAATTAAGGAAAAACTGTCACTTTGTGCCTAACACAAGGAAGCTACCACACAGATATGAGGTCTCTAATCACTCTCCAATCTGTAAGATCAAAAAACTAGACCTAAGACAGGGGTAAATTGGTTGTTTAGCAAATTACCGACTAAATTGAAACTTTTACAAAGTTTAGCTTAATTGAAGGTGCAACGAAAAGTTTAACAAAACTAAGTTTTTGTAAATCCTAAATACTTTTGTTTCAAAGAGCCTAAAAAGCAGTTAATAGAAAACTTAAATTAGCTGAATATTGTTCCATTGGATGTGATTGAGGCCCTAATGCTAATGACATAAGGTTGTGGTTTGGGACACTTAGATACGATGAAATGACATAAAGTGGTCATTTTACATCCGGGTGTTCAATTTTTAAAATAAATATTAAATGGAAGTAAAACCTGTATCATTAGTTAGGTTATGAAATAATTTACATGTAAACACTTGAATTACTTTAATCAAATATCATATGTGAAAATGGTGCATGTTTACAGTTGGAACACAAAAGCTATCAAGTTGTCATGACAGCTTTTTGTTGTCATGAGGGCATGTGCCATAGTGCATGATTTGTCATGGTGCATGGTATAGAGATGTGAAATTACCCTCTTTGTACCACATGCCGTGATATATGTACTTGTTTGGGGAAAAGTGACTTTTTTGCATGTAATGTGATTTTACATTCCTTTTTGCTTTTCTTGTGCATAATTACTCATAAATGCTAGTTTAAAAATATTTTCTCAAGGTTTTAGGATTCTAACTATTTTTGAGAATTATTTTTAAATTTATGGTGATTATGGTAATTGTTGGAGTTCAGTGGCTCTTAATTACATTTGCTAAGTGTGGTGAATGATTGGTAATGTTAAGGTGGATGTTACATCTAAATCAAGTGAGAATTAGATCACAGAAGCATATCCTTGAGTAATGGCTAATCAAGTGTGTGCTTAATCTTGAGACAAGTGAGTTCTAGCCAAACTCAGAACACTTGCCTTCACTAAAAGCTCAACCACACGTGTGGCTAGTCTAGGACAAGTGTGAATTGGCTTACAATGTTGAGCAAGGCTTTTGGATGCAAATTTAAGTGAGTATCAATTCTAACTTAAGCTTCAATTGGATCTATTAAGTCCTATAATTCATAAAGGACTTATAAGCTTATAACATGTTTTAATATGATACATTCTTACCATTCAAAAAATGATCTTGCTCTCAATATTTTTCACATTGATATCTAAGAGAAGAATAAAATAAATAAACTTATTAAGTCTAAGTCTTCTCTTGTTCTTCATGCTCTTAGAGGTTTTGTCACTTAGTAATTATAATATTGATTTGCACAAGTAACAAACCCTTTTCTCCTGATTTTGTAATAATCAAAATGCATGGTTCAACACAATCTTTTCAACATAGCCAATTCAATCAACCTAAAAGCATCTTAATTGCTTTGACACTTGGTCTGACCAAACCAGACACCTTTTCCTTTGACAAATTTGACATAGCTCTCTTGGAATAGCATGCATCAAGCAGAGAGAAGCGAGTTCTCCAGCAACTACTAGTAGAGTGCTAGTGCCTAGTAAAATAGTAGTAATAGTATGCTAATTCTTTTTCTTTTTCTTTTCCATCTTTTATTTCTTGTAATTTCACTTTTATCATTTTCAATATCATGTTTGATCTCACCTTGCAATTCTCTCATGTCTCACCATCTTTAGTTCTTCAGTTTTTATTTTTAGGGTCAATATGCAATTTGAATCTTGAACTATAGGTTCAGAGGTGATTTGAACCTTGAATTTTTAAAAGATACATTTTGAGCCCTAAATAATTAAAGTTGGGGCAATTTCATCCTACTGTTAAGTTTAAACAAATGTCCATCAAAATGGGACCTAATGTATGATTTTCACCAAATGAGGGTAGGAGGGAGAAGGAGAGTGAAATTTAGTGAAAATTGTACATTAGGCCCTAATTTTTAAAAAACTAATAGATGCTTGTTGAAATTTAATAATGGGAGCTAAATTGCCCCAACTTTAATTATTTAGAGCTTGGAATATATCTTTTAAAAGTTTAGGATTTAAACATTCCTAGACCTATAGTTCAGAGTTGGAATTGCATATTAACCCTTTATTTTTAAACACTAACATATGGGAAAATTGTGGCAAAAGACCTTAGGAACTCACCATTTAATTTAAAAGTAAAGTATTTTGCATTGTTTGGGGACATGTTCCTTTGGCATGTCTACGCACTGCGAACAAGTATATGTAGATTGATGTTGTTAAATATCCTAAAATCTTAAAAAAGATGTTAAAAAATTACAGTTATTTTAAAACATTGGGATGCCATATTTAAACACTGACTAGGTAATTTGAGATCATTATTTTTATGTTAAAAGCAAATTGAGACATTAAAATATGCATGAAGATGAAAAAAAAGCTACTAAATGAAGGTTTCTAATATTCAATGTAAAGCTTAATTTTTTCTTTTCATTAATCCCTTGTTTGATTTGAGTAGAATGGAAAAGAAGAGTGTTGAGAAGACATTTTAACAACCTCGATTTAAAAAAAAAACAGAAAATAATATTTACATTTTTTAAAATTTTTGATAGAAAAGTTTTAATTTATTTTCATTGTCTTTTTATCATAAATTTTCTTCCCATTAAGAATTTATAATATAATTTCTCTATTTTTTAAATCAAAAAAATAAAAAATATTCTCTTCCCTTTCTCCTCCCCTTCATTTTTTTTAAATTTTTGGCAAAAAAGTTTTAATTTATTTTCACTATCTTTTTATCATAAATTTTGTTCCCATTAAGAATTTATAATATAATTTCTCCATTTTTTAAATCAAAAAAATAAAAAATATTCTCTTCCCTTTCTCCTCCCCTTCATTTTTTTTTAAATTTTTGGCAAAAAATTTTTAATTTATTTTCACTATCTTTTTATCATAAATTTTCTTCCCATTAAGAATTTATAATATAATTTCTCCATTTTTTAAATCAAAAAAATAAAAAATATTCTCTTCCCTTTCTCCTCCCCTTCATTTTTTTAAATTTTTGGCAAAAAAGTTTTAATTTATTTTCACTATCTTTTTATCATAAATTTTCTTCCCATTAAGAATTTATAATATAATTTCTCCATTTTTTTAATCAAAACAATTAAAATATTCTCTTCCCTCTCTCCTCTTCATTTTAAAAAAATTTTTTTTTTACCCCTAATCTAACCCTTTTTCTATAGGAAAGGGAGACACGTGCATTGTGTGCGCACACAAATATGTTGATGTTGCGTTTGAACCCATGATCTCTTCCAAGCAAGGAACGTGGCATTATTGCTATGACATCTAATCATTGATTCCTCTCCTCCATTTTTCTTAAATAAAAAATAAAAAAATAAAAAAAGGAGTTAAAGGGCAAAATTGCCTTGGAAGTTTTACACAAGATGCAACCGACATCTTTAACTTTTGATTGGTGCAATATTAATCTAAAACTTTCAAAAATGATGCAATGTTGCCTTATAGTAACATTTGACCAATGTAGATTGTTATTTTAATTGTGAAAGGGAAATTTTGCCCTATAAGTTTGTCTACAAGGACAATTGATATCATGAACTTTTGATTCATACAATGCTTTTAGATTATCAACTTTCAAATCAAAAGGAGAATCTAAAACAACTTTTCATAATCTAAAATTAGCAAAAGATTTTAGGTTGAATTATATTGAATGCCTTTAAGTTGAAATCTAGGCTAGTCTATTTTTGTCCATGGACAGGTTTGAACAAGTTTGTATTTATGGATGTGCAAGATGAGAACTGCTCATTAGCAAAATAAGATCAAGTATGAACTTCAAAAGAAATTATATGGATTGTGTAGTGTTGGTATAGAGTTAATTTTTTGTCAAAGCAACTTCAGGTAAAACCTTTTGTTAAAATATAGAAATATGAACTATTTTTAATAATAATAATAATGGTTGTTAGATTTTTCTTCTCAATTGAATATAGTTAACCACAAAATATTATGTTAATAGAAAGTTTGTGATATCAACTTCTTATTTAGGAAAACTTCTAGGGTGAAGTTACTTTTTAACCCTAGTTAGAATTCTCAGTTAATGATCAATGTTGGTCAAATATTACTGTGGGAAAAAATTACACTATTTTTCAAACTTTCAAGGTCATATTGTGCCAATCAAAAGTTAAGGATACTAGTTACATTAAGCAAAAAACTTCCAAGGCAAATTTTTCACTACTACAAAATAAGTTTACAGGAGCGCTTTTTTTTTACTTTAAGGAGTGCTTTTGAAGTGCTCTCGTATCGAGCGCTCCGAAATATATAGGAGCGCTTAAAAAAAGCGCTCCTGTATATACACTATACGGGAGCGCTTTTCGAAAAGCGCTCTTATAAGGGAGCTCCCACACATCACATACGGGAGCGCTCTTGTAGCGCTCTTTACAAGAGCGCTCCCATATGCAACCATATCGAAGCGCTTTTATAAAAAGCGCTCCCGTATGAACCATATAGGAGCGCTCTTTGGAAGAGTGCTCTCGTATGTTACTTTATAGGAGCGCTCTTCAAATGAGCGCTCCTGTATATTACTTTAATTTTTTTTTAAATCAGATTTTTTAAAATTTCTCCTTTTACGTCTCTTTCACAATGGCAAATCATAATATCAAAAACTAATTTAAAAATAATATCAACATAAAAATTTATATACAAGAAAAGAATTTGAAACTGATACAACAATTTCAATTTCCTAACTAATCTAGTTTAATTTCTAACAAGCCTAACAAATGAAACTATTGTTATTTTTCTAACATTGAAATCTAACTTCCTATCACAAATAGCTAATAATATATTCTGACAACTATTCAACTAAATCTTCTATTTGCTCCATGGTAAAATGCGAACATCTTACTCCAACAAAATACTACACAAGATATGAAAGCAATATATAAGTAATTAACATTATATCAACTTAATTTCAAAGCTTTTGACTTACATTTTCAGGAATGATCAACTCTTGTTGTGTGATTACTTCTCTCATAAACTTCATAACATAGTATCCACACTCCCAATCTTGTAATTATGTAGGTACCTATAAAACAATAAAAGATGTCATTATCAAAATATGGTAGAAATAAATTCTAACTTAATTTAAAATACTTCAGCAATGAAGTTATATATATGAATCATTTCATCAAGACGGTCAACATCATATGTCCCACTATCACGATCAAATGTTGAGTAGCTTGCACTATCCCTCCAATCATTTGCATTATTCCTTGTCTCCCCATGCATGGTCCAACAAGTATAAGTTGGATCAATTCCATTACAGATTAAATGATCTTTCAATTCTATTGGCTTTACTCTTTTTCCATAGCAACATTTCAAATAAGGACATATGACTCCAGGGGGTCTTGATCACAACAAAATGCAAATTCAATGAATTAATCCACACCATCCCAATATTCTCTAGATAGTTGATTAGCCGACATCCACTTATGATCCATATCACTAATATGATTATCAAAATTCAATAAACAAAAGACTTAGATTTCTATAAAAAAAATTCAACAACATCTTCCTTAAAAGAAGAACCTCCCAAATGATCAAACAATCAAATTTCACAATACAATACATTTAAACTAAAAAAATCAATTCATCCAAATAAAAATTTAGTAGCATAATGCATCTAAATTCTGTCAATCAATTGTAATTTAATTAATAACAATAATCTCCTTCAAAAGTATATTTCATAAATAAAATAAAAATGTTCAAGTAGTTTTCTCAACTTTAATCTAATTATCAACTACAAATACTCCATAATTCTAATATAAATAACTCCAATTCATATATTATCTATAATATTGATTATTAAAAAATATATATGAAATTTATTCTCAAATATATATAAATATATCAATATATTACATTATAAATTAATTATTAAAAAAATACCTTCACAGTGTAGTCTTCACGGCAGTAGCAAAGGTCTTTGCGGCGTTGCTTCCTCGGCTATACAGTAATGACACACGGCTGCAACGGAGGTCTTCACGGCGTCGCTTCCTCTGGTGTACAGCAGCGTCATAGATCTGGAACAGCAATGCAGATCTAGAATAGTGATGCGGGAGATGGCGGTGACGGCGATGGCAGCGCAAAAACAGAGACAGATGGCGCGACATGACACAGAAATGAACGAACAGTGATGAACACTGATTTGGAACAACGAACAGCAGCAGACAACAATTTGGAACAGCGAACAGTGGCGAACGACGATCTGGAACAGTGAACAGCGACGGAAGATAGACTGATACAGTGACAATCTGGAACTCGTTGGGAATGCACAACCTCAGTAAATGAGAGAGAGGTTTGAAAGAAGCTCATAAATAGGGAAAAGAAAACTGACGGGAGGCAGAGATATAAAAGACACCTCTTCCAGGGTGCTCGTCAAAGAGCGCTCCAGAAGATCTCTCTTTTGGAGCGCTCTTTGACGAGCGCTCCGGAAGATGAGCTCTTTCAAAGCGCTCATTAAAAGAGCATTTCGGAAGATAGTCTTTCGGAGCACTTAACTACGAGCGCTCTCGAAGGTCTTTTGAAATTTTTTACAATATTTTATTTATATTAATTAGGAGCATTATCTTATTGAGAAGCCCTGACATACAGGAGCGCTTATTTAAAAAAGCGCTCTGGTAAATTCCGCATTCACATTTTAGAGCGCTTTTTAAAGAAGCGCTCCTAAATACCCGCTTCTAAAGATATATTCTGTAGTAGTGTTTCCTTTACCAAAATATATATATATATATATATATAAATATATATATATATATATATAAATATATATATATATATATATGCACGTTTAAAATCTAATACTCAAATCCCTATTACAAGAGATATTTATATTTAGTGCTTGATTATGTTTTGAATATAATTGTCTCAAATAGAAGAATACCTATGATCAATAAAAGGGTTGAGGGGCAAAAATGACCTATAAGTTTTCTCAAATGAATTATAGGTATCCTTACCTTTTAGAGTGAGTAATATTTCCTTGGAATTTTTTTTTTAAAAAGGTACAAATTTACCCTATTGTTAACCTACACTAAAGTTGACTGTTAAGTTTCTTGTTTTAACCCATAACTTAACATGTGTCTTTCTCTCCCTTTTTCTGAACTGTTTTTCTTCTCTCCCTCTCTTTGACTTATTGTGTTCGAGCTAAACCAAAATCGCCCAGCTGAGTATTGAAGCTAGATTGAAACCATGATATGGCTTATAGTTCAAAGACCAGCATGGCAAGTAACTTAATCAGGATAAGCTTTACTAATGTCTTCACGCCATTACTACCCCTGAATGCTGTGCGGGGCTACTCATCCATGACATCTCTGGGTCTAAACACTGCTTTCCTCATAAGCTCCAACAAGAATTTGCAGGCCCTACTTTTGAACACAAGAATATCCTAGCTTGACAGCCACAACGCGCACAATTAGAGGCCCCATCCAAACACAGAGTGACAGCAAAATTTGTAGCATAGAACAACTAAGAATGAAAACTATGACCAACTTTAAAGCAATCCAAGAACTGAAAACAAATTTTGCAGACATTAATATTATTTTCAAACTAGGAACTCACAAATTTAACCAAATTGATCTAAAAACCCATATTAGCAAAAAAGTAACGTGCAGACAAAAGAGAGCATCAATGTGAAACTTATCAATTCAATCAGTGAAGAATGTAATTGATTAAGTAGAAGTACGCCACAATAAATGAAATCAACCAAATATATAGGGAATTTATTAAATCTGCTATTTCATCAAAGTTTGGGGTTTATGGCTAGGTATGCTCACTCATTGATTCCTCCAAGGACCTAGCACTCGCTGATTTCATTGAGTCTGGGTTTGCTCATTGGCTGGGTATGCTCTAGGAATTTCTTTGCAGCTCCCATGAAGAAGAGAACCTTATAATACAGCCTTTGAGGTAGTCAATCTTCTTGATAGTTATAGGGGCATTGGTTCCTTCGAGGATCTCGATCCTATGAAGAAATAGGCATTAATACTCACCGGAGAGCGTGCCAGGTTTTTGGGCAAGTTCTTCCTTCTGCACATTGACAAGGCCTTCAGCCGAGAGGACAAGAGTGACTCAAGGGAGGAGAGGATGACACGTGTAAGAATTGTTGGTCAAAGTATAAAGTCACACGTTAGTCTTGGTTATGGAATAAATTTGCACCTTTTTTAAAACTTAAAAAAATAAACATTGCTTCCTTTACAAGGAATGACACTAATAACTTATTTGAGAAAACTTTTGAAAATTTTTTTTTCCTTTAATCCTAATAAAAAAATTAAATTCTACTTTTTCTCTAGGACAACAATTTCAATAATCGGACTCCTTCAATGCTCCTATGAGATTCACCCAGTCACCCCCATCACAGCATCAACTTGGATTGCTCCTCATCGTCAAATTGATCACTTGTGTATAATTTAAATATTTGCCCAATCACATGGACCCCACACTGGCACATAAAAGGAAAAAGAAAATCACAAAAAGAGGTGAGTTTTCATAATTATCCTTTTATTCACCAAATTTTGTGTTTGTTTATATAACTCCCTCTCGTCCTTTTTGCAAGTTATTTTGAACATTTTTATTAAATTAAGAAAAATTTTAAATCACATAACTCTATTTAAAAATTCAACAAATTTTCAACAATATTTTTATTAAATATATATACTTTAAAAATAAAATATTCTAGCATTTAATATCTTTTCAAATATTTAATAGGAGCAAAAAGATAAAGATAGACACAATAATTATTGAAGTGTCGTGTAAATAAAATTAAAATAAATATTCTTTCTTTTCTATAAATAAGGCTAGGGGAGAAAATGTTTAGCTCTTATGACTTTGGATTAGAGGTGACAAAATCAAAATTTGGGGCCCTTAACATTTGGGTCTTTCAATGATTTTATTCTTTTTCCTTATAAAGTTTTCATTATTGCAAATAATTAAAAGAAAAGATGCTTTTCAAAGTTTCCCAGATAAATTTGCATCCTTCACCTATGGGTGAAATCATGGCACTTGCCTCTTGATAGTGAAACATATTCGAATTGATTATAATTATCATTAATTTCCTAATTACATTAAAATGAGAAGAATATTTAGTAATAAATAGTGACAAATGAATGATTTGTCCAAACTCCATACTACAGTTAATCGGCCGTAACACATTTTCATTCCTTCTCTGCTTATGTTAATTAATAAATTGACTTAATTAAAATAAATAAATTATGGGGATAGATATGATAGACTGATAGTTGATATAGTATACATAGAAGTTGGCTCTTAAATATATTGACTTTTTTTTTGGGGTAGACAATCTAATCATATTTTTAGGCATGGCATTTATTCAATAATAAAATGAATAAGTAGTTTATATGTGTGTGTGTGTGTGTGTATAAGTAGAATCGCAAGTAACATCCCGGTGATGATACATTTCTCTGATACAATTTTGATCGATTTATTCTTTTTTAAAATTTTAAATATAAATAAAAATATCTCCCCAAAATATCTCTACATTATCTCAATTTCTCATTAACTTATTCATTTACAATCTCAAATTGAAATTACAAATAAATTTAAATTTAAATTTTAAAAATATTTGCAGAACTACAAGCAGCATCCTTGCAATGACAAGTGTCCATCACATAATTTTGCTTTATTTATTTTTTATTTTAAAATTTTAAAATATAAAAAAACCATCTCACCCACAAATATCTCTATATCATCTCAACTTCATATTAATTAATTAATTTATTTACAATTTTAAATATCTAATTTAAAATAATAATGAAATTATGTATATCCTCCTCATCTCCAAAAGTCTCTCCCCAATCCAAATTGACCAACTTCTTACCCATAATTTTAAATTTCAATTTTACAAATTTTGTGAAATTTTAATTTTAATTTTTAAAATTTTGAAAAATTGCTCATAATTTAAAATTTAAATTTTCAAAATATTAGTATAATTTTAATTTTAATTACTCAAAATTTAAAATAAATATAAAACTACCTCACTCCTAATCAAATTGTCATGCCACAAATGTGGGTAGTGTTATTACATGATGGGGTGGTTGCATAATGAGGTGTTAAAAGATGTTCACTTTTTCCTAACACATTGTGCAAATTATAAATTCATAACTACCATCTTCTGTTTATAACTCTTGTAGTTTAAGGGGCAGCAAACCTTCCTTGTTAGGACCAAGGATAAAGACTAGCCATCTTTTACATGTAAGAAGGTAAAATTTTCTATTCGAGTTCTCAAAACTCTCTCATTTTATTGAACAATATTTGTTTTTGAATCTTAGTGACTTTGTTTTTGTTTGAAAGTAAAGTTTGTTTTAAGATCTCCTCCTATCACAAAGCCTAGACTAATTAATGCTAAAGTCATAATTTTGCAGAATTTATTATGAATTTCCACCATTTCCCTTAGAAATATATATGAAAATTTCCTAACTATAGTTATTGTTGATGCAGTGAAGCTAGAGTTGAAGATGATGGAGAGAGTGTGCAGGCTCTATGTCACATGAGAGTGAGTCTTGCTTATTCTCTAATTTTGTTTTTGTCCTTTAAATTATGAGTTTGAAGATCTGGACTTGAATCATATCATTCTTACAAACTTTGTTTATGTGCTTTCTTTGTTGATTTACAGGTTATTCACGTGATTGTTATCTCCAACTCCAATGACCTATGGCATGCATATTTTGCTAAAAAGGAAAAAAATAAAGGAATTGATTTTTTATATTAGAAATATGTGTTCTACTTTACTCTTCCTTTTTAGATTTATCTTTAAATTTTGTCTATCATATCCATTCCTTCTTCTTCTTCTTTTTAGCAAACATATCCATTCCTCAAGTTCATCAAACCATGTGTGATTACATTTTTCATAATCACATTTCAATGTTTGTTGTTTGCTTTCCTTTAGGTTCAATGTTCAATGCCACTTCATTGATGCGTATAGGATATATTGTAATTTGGTTGCTTTTTATCGTAAAATCTCTAGTTTGATGAAATGTAATACTACTTGAGTTAAAAGGGATTTGGCACCATTGTATTAGGTAATTGCATGGTTTTTAATTTTTATTGAAACATTGTATTAGGCCATATTGAATATGAGAATAAATTATTTTTTTACAGCAATTGAAATGTCAATGTGCCTCCAGATGTAACATCCTAAAAATTTAACCCTAATTAACTATGTCTAATTAGGGTAAACAAGTAAATTGATGTGGTGTTGGTTAGAGGTCTAATGGGTGTTTTTAGTTGTGATTTCAGCCTTAAATTTGGGTTTGACGTGAAGTTGAGTCACTCAAACATCAAAAAGAGAGAAAATATGAGGAAAGAAGTTCTGTGCCACATGCTGCAACGCACATGTGACCATCAGTAAAGGAGGGACCTCTCTTGTCAAAAATTTATAGTTATAAAGCTGCATCAGAGTTTGAAAATAAAACAAAAATAAAGAGTAGAATGAGGAGTTTGGGTTTTCTTTGCTCGAGCTTACATAGTTGAAGGTTTGGGAGCAATTCTAAGTTGTTATACACCAAAGTTAAGGCTCATAAACTCCTTTCCTCCTTTTCTCTCCCATTTTCTTGAAGAGTTAAGTTAGGGTTTATGTGGGGAGGTTGATTTTTGGTCCATAATAGCTATAGGTTCGAACCCATTGACTTAAATAAAATTAATAAGACTTGTTTAGGTTATTTAAACTTAATATTGATGATTTTGTAAGTATTTGGTAGGTGAAGGCTATTAATGGCTGAAAATAGGCATTTATAAGGGTGTTGGAGGTGTTAAATGCCATTAATGGTGGTTTAATGATGTATTAAGGCTAATGTAAGTTAAAGGGAGCTAATATACTCAATGGGTATCTTTGAAATTGAGAATTTGTGGTTTCGTGAGTTGGGAATATCAGAGTATAATGTTAGAAATTATCCTAATGAGGATATTGATGGTTATTGATGGGGTTAATTGTAGATCAATCACAAAATTGGCACCACTCAAGCTAATTGGAGCTTTGAAATTATTTATGCTTGAGGGGTAAACCTTTAACTTCTCAAAGGTTTGAAGTAATTGAGAAAAATTTAGTTTATGCATTTGTTTTGTTGATTAATTTTATATTAAAGTAAATGATTTAAAAATCAAATGGTCTTTGTAAACTAATTTGATGCAAAATATGGCAATGTTATTAAGTGTGTGATGTGTTAAAATCAATGAGAAATGTTGTATGGATGTATGTATGCATATGAGATTGTTGTAATTGTGTAAGAACTTGTACAATGAGCAATATGAGTAAATTTGCATATTGAAATATGTGGAGCATGATGGAGATGAATTGTGATGAGTATGATATGATGTGGTTAATGTTTATGGATTTGTATACTATGTGTTGATATCTGTATGGCATGATCATTTATGGTGGGAGTTCGCCAAGGAGGGGAGTAGTGATAAAATCCACGTGGTATTGGCAGTTTCATTAAAATCAAAAGTTAGCCAAATTGCCAACTGATGGAATTAAGAGGTAGTTTGTCCCATTATTATTGAGGAACTGTCCTACTTGTTCTTTGAGAGTCAAACCTAACTAGTCTCCATTAGTTTAGAAAGATGTGTAAATGTAAGGGTATTATGAATTATGTGATGATTTATGAGAAAATATCTCCTCCTTCTATTTTTGTAATCAAGGGGTTTGAGCAGTAAAAATGTAGAATATGTGATGTTTAGTTGTTGTGGTGTGTTGCACAAGTCCTATATAGTCAATTCAGGGTGATATAAGGTTTGGTATAAGCTCTTGGCACATAGATGGCCAAGTAGTGTAATAATGTTAAAAATATGTGAGATTTGAAATGGGTGTCCAACTTTTAATTGAAAAGTAATTTGGTTGTGAAATTAGTATTGTTAGCTAGAGTTTGAAGAAAGCTTTTTGTGAACACTTAAATAATCTCAATTGGACATTGGACGGAGAAATGGGTTATGTCAGAACTT